CCCACCCCATATCGCGATTCCCCACTCTATATCCCTCCCCATATCCCGCCCTATATCGCGATCCCCGCCCCATATCCCCCCCTACCCCATATCGCACACTTATGGGGCAGAGCCGCACTCATAGGGCACAGCTGCACTTATGGGGTGGACACACACTTATGGGGTGCCCCACACTTATGGGGCAGACCCACACTTATGGGACCAGACCACACTTATGGGGCGCAGCATCACTTATGGGGCAGAGCTACACTTATGGGGCAGAGCACCACTTATGGGGCGGACCCACACTTATGGGGTGCCCCACACTTATGGGTCGGACCCACACTTATGGGTCAGACCCACACTTATGGGGTGCCCCACACTTATGGGTCGGACCCACACTTATAGGGTGCCCCACACTTATGGGTCAGACCCACACTTATGGGTCAGACCCACACTTATGGATCAGACCCACACTTATGGGGTGCCCCACACTTATGGGTCAGACCCGCACTTATGGGGCGGACCCACACTTATGGGTCAGACCCGCACTTATGCGGTGCCCCACACTTATGGGTCAGACCGCACTTATGGGGTGCCCCACACTTATGGGGCAGACCCACACTTATGGGATGCCCCACACATCTGGGTCAGACCCACACTTCTGGGTCAGACCCACACTTATGGATCAGACCCACACTTATGGGGTGCCCCACACTTATGGGTCAGACCCACACTTATGGGGTGCCCCACACTTATGGGGTGCCCCACACTTCTGGGTCAGACCCACACTTATGGGGTGTCCCACACTTATGGGTCAGACCCGCACTTATGGGGCGGACCCACACTTATGGGGCAGACCCACACTTATGGGGCGGACCCACACTTATGGGGCAGACCCACACTTCTGGGTCAGACCCACACTTATGGGGCGCCCCACACTTGTGGGTCAGACCCACACTTATGGGGCAGCCCCACCTTTGATGGCGGCTTCCAGCAGCTCTGGGCAACGGAATCGAGGAACGGTTCTGTACAGCCGCGAATACATCCACACCTGGGAGACAACAGCTGCCCCACAGCTGCCCCACAGCCGCCCCATAGCCGCCCCATAGCTGCCCCGTAGCTGCCCTATAGATACCCCATAGCTGCCCCATAGCTGCCCTATAGATACCCCATAGCTGCCCCATAGCTGCCCTATAGCTGCGCCATAGATACTCCATAGCTGCCCCATAGCTGCCCCACAGCTGCCCCATAGATGTCCTATAGCTGCCCCATAACTGCCCCATAGCTGCCCTATAGATACCCCATAGCTGCCCCACACCTGCCCCACATCTGCCCCCCAGCCCCCT